GCTTTGTACAGATGATATCCTTGGGAACTGAATATTTGGACAGGAATCAAAAATAGAAGGATAAAGCTAAAGAAATCAGAGAAAAGAAGGAAATAAAGAAGAAATCAATGGAGCATTGGACGGTTCTTTCAAATAAGCCGTACTTGTCATTCACACGCGAAATCACGAATTCATTTTGAAGTAATTTGAATGTGTGGAAATCGTCCTCAAGGAATAAAACATCATTTTTGAGTAATCCATCTTCAGGTGTACTTAGTGGAGTCACTGGGAAGGGCGGTATTTGGCTTGCAAAGAGAGGCCTGTTACACGAAAGAGTGTGGAATTTAGGGCAAAAAGCAGGGACTTCCTACCGCTTTCCGCCAGTGAATGAGTTTTTTTTCTCGCGTGAAAACTGCAGGGAGTGAAGATGAGCTAAAGTTTGAATCTTTGTGTTAAAATGGATGGGAGCTATGATCAGGCATGGCAAGGAAATTCTCCCTGATTACAAGCCCTAATAACAGTGAGAAGGTTGGGGGAGGGGGCTTACGGCATTGTTCACAGTCTGCGACCCTGACGAAACGGCGGTTGGGCGAAAAGCAAAAAATACGGATTGATCGGAGAATCGGCGGTTGGGCGAAAAGCAATAAATGCGTATCGATTTCGCTGGCGAAAAACGCCAGGGCGATCGAGCTAGCGTTTCGTCGAAGGCGAAAAACGTCGCGGTTTGGCGAAACGCCCGTCGATTCGTATCAAAACCCTTTCGCCCAACCGCCAGACTCTTCGCCCAACCGCCAGTCGATACGTATCGAAAGCTTTTCGCCGAAGCGTTTCTTTCTAGAGAAACGCTGGGCCGCAGACTGTGAACAATGCCTACCCGATCAACTCTCAGAAAGAGCAAATTAACAATCGAAAATATCAAAGATCTTTCATCAGATATCCCTTGATCAGCTTCCAGGCAGGGCACGTCATCGTTGTGATGATCACAACGGAGGGGCTCGTATTTGTGAGCCGCGAAGGGAGGAGAGGATCGTATTGGGTCGAATGGAAAACATTTGCTTTGACAGTGGCTTCTCTTGTTTCACGACGGCTATAGAAAGGGGGACTTCCAAGATCTGTAGAACGCTACTTGCTGACAGTTGCACTATGAGTTAAATCCACGACACCTCTCCTGCCCGCGCCGAGAGCGAAAAATTTGGGGATTTGGGGGGGGGGGGGGGGGGGGGGGGAGGGGGAAACCACAAATTTCGCAGTAGGTAGAACAGTGGTAGGTAGCTGGAAAAGGTAGCATGGGGAGGGGGTCGTACTATGAGGATGGAATTAGGGGGGGTCGTATTCTTCAGGAAATGATCACAACGCGATGGCGTGCCCTGCTTCCAGTTACCCTACCCCATTGAGCAATCTTCAACGTGCGCTTTACCCTGGCTGTGGTTGTACGGAGGGGGGAGGGCTTCACGCGGTTGTAAGTACAGACACGACCATATTCCTCATTTCTGTAATGTGTTTTCTGTGTTGTTAGGAATTTTACGCGCGAGATACCGTCACCTAAGTTTGACTTTATCTCATATGGTGTATTAGACCTCCCTTTGGATATTTTTGCCCTGCCTTTTGGCCTGCGATAACCGTCTGAAGCGTACAATGAACAATTTGTTCAATGAATAAATAACGACGGGTTCATTTTCCGCTGTTCCCTGGAAACCAGCAACTTGATCTCTGGTTCTGCTAACACACCTTCATTTTCTTCAGCAGTGGGTCATTACAGAGAATTGCTCTCGAGAGTCCTAGCGCATCCGCTGAATCCGTGTCCATAAACTCGACCATCTGAAAAAAGTTGATAGAGACTACATCCCAGAATGTTAGGTCGAAGAAGTTCAACAAAGGACCTTGTGTTTGATTTTCTTCATCACAATGTCCAATGTTTTTCCTTTTGAGGGGTCCGTTTCCAACTTATTGATGGTCATCTGAAGCAGGAAGAAGGTTTTAGGAAGTTAGGTGGAGCTATATTTCTTATCCTGTGGGAGGAATGTTCAAGGTTCAAAGAATTACCTTGACAGGATTCGTACTGCATTGAATCAGCTGAGCGACAGCTGACTTCCGTTCTCCTTTCACGGAAATACCGTTCACCGCCACTATCTCGTCGCCAGCACGTATCCTTCAACGTATAAAACCTTTTATAATGAATAGAATCAATCGGGTGAGCGTTCTAATGGTGGTGCTCAGCGAGATTAGTGAGATCAGTTGAATTTCGGAGGGCAAGCATCTAGTTGAACCCGTCCGCGGAGACTAATGAGTATGTGTTTGGCGTTGATTCGAAAAGGCATTTGAACCACGCTCAGAAATGCAATTACTCTTGAAAACAAGGGAAAAGAACTGGCGCTATTTGGCTCGGAGGGAGCGTTTCGTCCTTTCATCAATTCCTTTTGTTAGTTCGGGTTAAATAACGGGTCACATCAAAATGAGACCTGTAAACTCCTGTGCGAAATGGTGCTAGTGGTACAGCAACTTACAGGGTCTCAAACGGCGGCCTGTACAAGCTGAGCTGAGTACCATTCGGTGCCCCCACCAAGCCGAACTGAGCCTAGCATTTCGAGGAACACTCTGCAGTTCTGCATTTTTTCAGACCTCATGGCTGCTCATGAATCAAGTCGTAATAGATAACACGTGCAAAATCTGGGTTTTCTATGCTGGAGCCTACCCAGCCATCTCGGGAACAATTTCATCACACGTGCTTCATTCTGCACAGTCACACTAACACCTGGTTGGCTTCATTTTTTATAGTGTCTCTTTTTGTCAAATCAGCAGCTGACTGAATAAATAACTTGAAGACTTCAACGAGTATGTGGAAACCAATGCACAGATGCCGGGGGGGGGGGGAGGGTTAACGAAAAGATGCATTCTCAACCTGGGCGGTTTTCATAATTCTGCTCATGAGTGGTTCAGCTCCACTTAAAGGCACTTTCCGCGATAAAATAAGGCTATGACCTTTCAAATGTGTCAGACGATCCGGAAGGAGATTGCGGAGGCTGCGCTACCTTTAGAAAGTGAAAATCGGCAAGAATTCCGCTTTAAGCTAACCAATTAGGCCCATTGGGCGCCCCTTAGGCCCATGCCGACCCCACCGGCTGCTAGCTACTAGCTAGTAGCCACTATGCTATCTCTCTCCATTCCGAATGGTGAGAGTGAGGTGATAAGATAAAAGAGCTGATATCTTTATGATAACGACGAGTGGAAATTCGTTACAACTCGATTCTATCAGTGCATGCAGGTAACAAGTTTGGGGCCCCCCACAACCCCCCCCCCCCCCGCCCCCCCCCCCCTCGATATGGAATCCTATTTAGGGCATTCTCGGCTGTTTTTCCGCTGCTTTTCTCCGCTAATCAGATACCAAGCCCTTCTTCGTTCCTATGTGGGTTCCGTTAGCCCAACATGCTTTGGTCGCGGGCTTTCCTAATTAAAGACAAGATCGGTCACGTCGAAGGGCACCGAGGGCGTGGAGATCTGTATTCCAAGCCACTTTCCTCTCTTACATGTAGGTCTCTGCCTCTCTGGTCTGGACCTTCGCTGAACCACAGCCCCGCCTCCTGCTCCCCTAAGGTATGGACTGTAGGTACTCCAGCCTGACACACTTATCGGCGAGTCCTCTTGGGCTCGTCTGCTGCTCCACTTTCTCACGACATGACATGACAATGAAGGTTGTGAACGAAGGCTTACTTCTCTTTCGAAGAAAATTTCAGGGATATTCAACTAAGGAGTTACCTGTAGCTCAGTTATCTGTCCAAGGCACTTTTTTTCTGATGTGTGTCATGGATAAGGTGACCTTTTCCACCCCTTCCCCGCCCCACCCTCATTTGGCTCGAATGGCCTCACTATCACTATTGACCTCTCATCGCAATCACTTTAATCCTATTATCAGTTCCTTTCTAAATTAGTGGCCAACTGAGAAACTTAGCTGCTCATGAACTTCGATTTTCAAAGCTGGTAAACATTAAGGAATCGTCATTTCGCCATTTCAATGACGATCGGGCGATCGGGAATTACGCCGCTTGAGTAAATATTGCCAGCTCACTACTACTACTACTGTCTGTTCAGTTTTCAGTTACCGCCCGCAAGGTTACAGGGTAAGAAAAATGTATGCGGAATACTCTCTTGTCGCAGCGTCTCCGAGAACCTCAGAACCTTCTATCGGATCGTCTTCTTCAGAGTCCTGGACCACCACCGCTTGAGTGGAAGAAGGTGGTTCTGTTAGTAACATATAGCTAATGCAAGGAATTAATCTTACAATTTCGGCACTGTTCAACTATTACTACCCCAATTTTCCGAAAACGGGCCGGATCTTGATCGACTTTTTTCTACGGGGCAGATTTGGCTGAAAGTTGGGTTCTAGGGGTAATTCGACCTCCTGAACACGAATATCACATCCGCTCCTCCCGAAACTGCCTGGCGCCCGCGCCACAGGCGCCGGCGCCAAAGTACCCTAGATCACCAAATCCGCTGAAAACTTGTGCCCAGGGGTAGTTCGACCTCCTGAACACGAATATTCTATCCGCTCGGCCAGAAACGCTCGCGCCCGCGCACAGCGCCGGCGCCAAATGCTCTAAACCGGTGCGCCTGTGGCGCAGGTGCATCAGCGCACTTTAAGGCCAAAGTTGGATGTATATTCGTGTTCGAGGCCGAGCTACCCTTAAAACCCAAATTTCAGCCAAATCTTGTCCGCCATAAAAAATGCGTCAAGATCCGGCCTGTTTTCGCAAAAATTGGGGTAGTAATAGTTGAATAGTGCCTATATTTCCGAAATGATCAAAATATTCGTCGTCACGGGAATCTTCTGAAATATACGGGAAGAGAGAGTTTCCCAGATCTCAAAATAAAAATTATGCTTGAATAGCATTTGAAAAGGTCAGTACATTCTTCATACAGTCAAAATAAGCAAGGTTTCCAGCTAATTCCACGATCCTTCACATGGGCGGAGTCAATCATATCTGACTTTTTTTGGTGAATCTCTGAATTCGAAGAACAAAACCTAGTCATAGGTTCAAGTAAGCACGTAACCATGTAATCAACAAAAGCATTTCGAGCTCATGAGGGTTTTCCCTCCTCTCGATCAAGCCCCATGTAGTGCCCTTGTGGTAAATAAGTCATCAGTTTCGAAACCGATGGATTTCACTTTCTCACGTGCCATTGTCACTGTATAATTCAAAGCGAGGGCAAACGTCCGTCGATAATATTGATCGACGGCAAGTACTGTATTCTTTTACTTTACTGGACTGTGAAATCGCCTTCATTTTTCATGATCCCTCCTCAATCACGCTGAGTGATTTCTCCACCCGCAATAGAACCATAGACAGGATGTCGCTGTCTTTCATTGTTTTTCATTCTTACTATGATTAGTATGGCTCATAGCTGTCACAGAGAAGGCAGAAGCATTTTACCCTAGTCACTCCTCTCTTGGGATACGCCACGCATTCACCTTCCATTCAGAATCGTGGCCTTTTTTCAAGAGATTTGGCCTATGCAATTACTTTCGAGCGTGAACCGACGTACAGGGAATTTCATCCCCTCAGATGAGGGAGCAGTAAATCGACACCAGAGAGTTGGGTAACCCCGTTGCTCTCGGAGGGATTCAATCCCTCCTGTGAATCGTTAAGACCATGATCTTCTTCTTCTTCTTCTGAGTTCTGAATAGCCTGATAAAGTCTAAGGATGCGATCATAATCGTTAAGGCGACCCCATCAAATAATGATCCCATTACGACGCTTTGGATGAATCATCCTTTAAT